ATTTATAAAATTTATGAAAGATGTTTATAATTACACACATATATATCTAACTTATTAAAATAAAATAAAACATATAAACAAAAGAGAAATAATAGAATAATAATATTAATATAATAATATTATGTCACATAATTAAAGATTAGTTGTATAAGCATAAATATAATATTAATAATATAATATATATAAGCCTAAAATTTATTAAAAATCTAATTAAGGATTTTGGAATACATCGAATTAAATATAGTACATATTAAATATGTCATATTACATCTTTAATTCATAAATTTTATTGCCTTCATAAAGATTATTGTTATTTATTAAAATATTTGAGAATCTCTTTCACCGCAACAACGTTCACCAAGAGAGTACTCGCAACCGAGCTCGCAACAGTCCCACGCTATACATATATCGGAATTACAAACAATATATAATAGTATTTAGCCATGATACATAATAGTGTAGATAATATCAAATAAGAGACTTGCGATCTCTGCTCTTGCTCGTGATCACGCGTTTTTCCGGATTTGCCCGTCGAATATGAGAAAATCACGAAGTGGTTTTATACTTTAATCACGACGTGGAAAGTGTTATTATTGAAAGCATATAGACTGCAAGGTGGAAGTTTCTACGTATTTTGTTTGTTCTTGAGCATTATCGTTTATTGTGAGAAATATTACAGCTTATTCTTTATAAGATTTATAAGAATATTAAGTGTAATATTAACTGTAATTCTTTACAAAGTTCAAAAAAGGTTAAATAATCGCGTGAATATTAACAAACTTTTGAACAAAAATTATAGTAGCTATTTCTTAAGTATTTTATCAATTATTTTAAATCTATTTTTTTAATTGTTTTAATCCTAGCTGTACACACTCTTTTTTCTTTTATATACACATTTGGGATTCTAGGATCCCATCCATATTTGTTACTATATAACCCCCGTAATACCATAATAACTCCATAAAAATGGACATATTTTAATTAATCTTTTTTCAATCGATGGAGAATTGATTAAGTCCATAATATATAAAAGTCGATAAAATTAAAGAACTTCAAAATATATAGATTCAAAGAAAAAGAAAAGTTCAAAAACGCGAAAAAATCTCGGTTTAGCAAATTGCGTTGAGGAGTTTCTGAGACCCCAGTATAGCTAGGGTTAATTTTATTTTAATGATCAAACATTTTTATTTTTTATTTTAATTTATCTTTGTAGCAATAAAAGAAATAGTATATATGACATTTATTTTAAAAATCAAGTATCCATTAAGAGATCTGTTATACAAAATTGTATTAAAATCATTTTTTAAACAAGAATATGTTTCTCTACAGAATGTTTCTCTGTTTTTTAATAAGAATATACAAGAGAGTATTCTAACTTAAACATTAAAATGTCTCGAAAACATTTTCAAAAAAAAATTTAAATAAAAGTTGTAAGAAAACCATTAAATGAGTACTTAATAAATTCTGGATCTGGAAACCACTTTCAGTCCAACTGAACCAAAGGTCCACGTGGATTTTTTCGATAAAAACGTTTTATTGCAGATTCATATTCTATTGAAAAAAATAAAGAAATTTTAATTCTAATAATTTTTCGCTCTTCCTTTTATAGCGCTAATGTTCTTATTTTAAAACACGTTCTGACCATTGAAGGTCAATCTTATAACAAATTTATTGTTTTCGAGATATTTTGGTGTCTAAATCAAATTAGGAAATCCTATATATTAAAGAATGTCCATAACTTTATGTAATTTTTTATATTAAATATTCCATTTTAAATAGAGAGAGAGAGTGAGGGGGAAGGGAGAAAGAGAGAGAGAGAGAGAGAGAGAGAGAGAGAGAGAGAGATCTATAGAATAAATTTAAATTTGAATCTAATATTAAGATAAATTTTATTTTAATGATCAAATAATCTCTAAAAGTGTATACATATAATTTACATAAAATATATATAATTGCTGTATTAATTTTTTTTATTTATATTGTAATATGATTAACAATGAATTGTACATATTACAAAAATTAAACGATCAATTAACTTTACGTTGCCTTTTAAGAGTGCCTAATAACAAGCCTTTGATGAAACTTTCGATCTTTTCCCGGAACTTTTGCAGGAAAGCGAATGGCCGCCCAGACAGCTGGAAAAACTAGTACTTTACCAGCAATCCGAGAGACCCTTTCGTTTTCTTCGCGTGTCTCATTCCAATTCGCTCTCGATTGCAGTGTCGATTACTTTCGTGCTATGTGGAAATGATTATTGCTTTGTTCCCAGAATGCACCAACAAACAGATAAATGCTGAGAATTCGGATAAATCATAGCTTTACAGTTTCTTTCGCAAGATGAGGTTACATTGACAGTACACAAACGCTCTTGGAAATTTATTGCAAGTTGTAATTTCTTTTTAATATTCATATAATTATTTTCCGATACCACGCAAAATCTAGCTGTTGTCATTATTTCGTATAGTATTTTTATAACGTTAAATTTTTTATTGTTACTATTACATAAGTATACAAAGTATTCCTTAAAGATCAAAGAAGATCGGATAAATCATATTTCAGAAGGATTTTCTACTTTATTGCGATATTTTTTATAAAGTTTTTCTTTTTAAATGGGTAAATATTTATCAAAATTAAAAGAAATATTAAATTAAAAAATGAATCATTTTAATTAGAACATTTATGACTATTGTTGGAACCAAAATTATCTTAATAATTTAATTCGTTCTCTTTTTTCGAAATATAAAGACATTTTTAAAAAAGAATAAAAGATTTTTTTATAAATAAGTGCCATCTATTTATTTATTGGACAAAATGAATAATGCCTGTTCTGTCACAAGTGTTTCAATTAAATTGACGTCTTATTTTTTAATTTCGATTTTCTGAAAATGCATGGTGTACACAATGCATAAGATTAAATAGTTATGTTAATATTTTCATATTTTATTTTAATATTTTATTTTAGAAAAAATAAATCTATCTTCAAACAATAATAAATCAGAAACAAAAAATAATTTTAAAAAATCTTTATTCCCCTCCCCTACTTTTCTAAAAAGAAAATTCAAAATTTTAATAAACACGCGATAAAATAAAAAAATCCTCTTAAAAGAATTTCAGTCTGCGGGATTTATTAAATTATTAAATTTTAAAAACTGGTACGTAGTTAAATTCTTGCTAAAAGAAAATCAACTTAAAATTAAAATCAAAGATTCGATTTTTAATTGGCAAATGTACTTATAATTGAGCTTTCTGTACGTAATAAAAAATAAAATACTGATTAATACTTTTGTATATCGTCATCGAAATTAATTTATAAGGTTTTAATATGTTCTTATAATTATTGTTAAGGGTTTTTATTTATTTTAAACACATCTGAAGAGGGCTAAGTATGGTCGAAACGTTCCGTGAAATGATAGAAAAAGAATAATAAAGAAAAATTAATTACATCTTTAAAGCTCGTTTATTATAATAACTTTGTAGAAGCCCCTTATTTTATTGTGTGAAATTTATACAAGCGGTTTATCTAATATTTTTATTGTAATTAAAAATAAAATAATTAAAAAATAAAATAATAAAAATTGCAGAAATTAAATTTTAACAGTTTCTCTTATGAAGAAAGACTTACCATCATGTATTGTCGCGAGCAGAATTCCCAAGCAGAGAATCAGCGATGCCGCTCGTACCTCCTGCAATGAGAAAAATAGTATATCTCATTAATAATTCATCATCGCCGGAGACGTATAATACAATATGCCAAAGTGAGAGTTTCGCAAATAATTAATTCATAGCAAGTTCGTTCCAACTTTGGTAGCGTTCAATCTCTCGCATATTGGTATAACGGATCGGTAATGAGTCAACGGATACCTGGTGACTTCAACAATAAATATCAATGAAATGCAGTTAATATTAGAAAGTTTAATTATTCTGTGTAATATATTAACATAAAAATAAAATAGATATATTAAGGGATATAAAAATGTTCTGGAATAAACGAAGACAAAATTCTTAATTAAGAAATTTTCTACACAACAAATGGCGAAATTTTCACTCACATTACAGTACAGTTTTTTTAGATTAACAGTCGTTTTTATGATATAATAATTAATATAATTCATTTTATATTTAAATAAAAAATTTATTGATCTATTATTTGATGGCTACTTCATTAGTTAAGTTTTATATTTATTTTAAATATGAAATCAAAAGATTGTACAATATTGAGTTTCTATACAATTAATGTATCATTATCGGATAAGATGATAAGTAATTAAGCTGCTGAAAATGATTTATCGAAATTAATTATGTGATCGATGATGTATTTATGCCAGATGTGAACACAAGAATGAACTAGCGCCTGAACTTTATTGATAAATTTTATACCGTTATTTTTTAATCAATTTTAATTGAGTGATTTCGAATGAAAAAGAATCACTGCGATTAATTTAATCCATGATTAACTTACCACGCGACTGTATTATTATATTAATGTGGATAATATTTGTGTGTAGTTTTTGGGGGCACACACATACATATTTTATCCTTATCCGAATAAATTTATCCTTCAGAATTAATACTATATTTATTGGAATATATTTTATGTTTTATCATAAAAAATTGCTTTTGGAAAGCACACATTACTGGAAATGTGATTTGTATAAAAATTAAAGTTAGTGAGATATATGTAAAAATAATTTTCATTTTAGAGAATCTTCGTAAAAAATTTATCCAAATACATTACATTGCAATATTGCTGGAACGTTTTGTTGCAATATAAGAAAAAGCGGACCTTAACATTATTGGAATTTTGCAACAATGATTCAGCAACGTTTCGCAATCACCATGCAATATTGTAATGTTTGAAATCATTCTGCAATGTTTTCTGCGATCTTTCTGTGCTGTATGGGTGTACAAATTAAAATATTTTCTATATATATTTGAAATATTTTATAAGTTTCAACATTTCTTAGAAACACCAAACAAGTGATGCACATATCCTTGGAAATAGATATACATTCTTTAAAGTTTAATTCATTCAATATTCACAGCTCCATGAGAGATGCGTGAATTAAAACCAACAGTCATATAAAATACCTGTCTATCTCGGTGTTATGCGTACGCCAAATGCCGGTTCAACTTGTAATCGCTTATGTAATGCAGAAATGTAAAGTGCTTGACGATGCACTTGTTCCTCAGTTCGGCTCGGTCAGCGGGCGGCTTTCGATGCTGGATTAATAAAGATCGATGATACGATATAGGAACGGATGAATAGCGACGTACACGAACAACACGGACGACGCTTCTCGTTATGTAATGGGCGTGCAAAGAGAAAGCAAGAAGAAAGAACGCGGTGAGACTTTCTCGCGGTATGTTTCGGGCGATGAGTTTCGCGTTACGTTGACGTTATACATTACATTAACGGCATGCTACTCGCCAACGTGATAACAATTAACGCGCCTCCATGGACCCTGAACGTTTAATGAGGTGGACAGAAATTCCGGGCTGGTCTCTCGCGAAAGACAGCTGTTAGCGTAATAACTTATTGTTAGATGATTCCCTCTGATCTTACCATGACAAACTTACGACAATATCTTTAGACGAAGTATATCAGAAACTATTCGGATATTTGACATTCGTAAACATCAAAGGAGAAATTAAGAGTAATTATACAGGCGCTTTTAACGAGGCATCAAGTAGTTTCGAAGCCAACCCATGAAAAATCTCGAGGGAGTAAATAGATAATAAAATCTCGTCAGTTTTGATTGTGCTTTCGGATATTCGATATCTATTTAATTTACAGTTAATTTACTAAAATGTTCTGCCACAAATGTCCACAAATGTCATTCGAATAATTACGGTATAACGCAAAATTTGTCTTCTTCCGTTTTAAGGTGTATAGTGTTACATCGTACATTTCTGTAGTCGTGGGGATTTAATAATCATCTCGCTGCAATATATTGTCTCCCCGCGAAGTAACAGCTCGCGCTTGGCGGCACGCGGCTGTAAGTATGCATGCGGGGTGGGTCAAAAAACTCTGGGGCCCCTCTAAATGTCAAATAACTTTCTACGATCCCGGGATCCTTGGAAAGCGAGTACGGGTGATTCAAGGGAGAGCCTCGAGCGATTACACGTTCGCGTTTTCGCGCCGCTGCGTATCAGTACGCACACAAGCGCGAGCGTACATCGGTCGTCCAGCGACCGGCAAACCGCAGACTGGGGCTGGTCATTGCTGACTTTCTGGAAGTTTCGTAACCGGAACGGAAGTTCTCGTCGTGCTTTCGACGCGCGATTCGCTACCGACGTCCCACCGACGTCGTTTCCATCATTCGACTCTCGATTTCTCATCTTATTTCGCAAAGAAAAAAAAATAATCTCTTGAACTTCGATGAAAAGATCTAAGCTCGATAATCTAGTCATTTTTCGTTTTTCGTGATCACAAATTTGAAGTTATAAATTAATAAAAAGAATTAAATTACGCGAAATTTAGTAAAAAAAAAAAAATTTATTTCTATATTATTACATTTCAATTTCATTCATCATATATGCGCATAACATGTTTATTTGTTCATCTACAGTATAGTAATATGATAGTATGTTAATATGTCTTAAATCTCACATATTTTACTTTTTATTGTTACATTACAACCACACACAAATTAGCACTATTATCTCTAATTGGACTTCATAAAGAAACTCCAATTCCTATAGAAACTACAACCAAACTACTTTCCTCTTTAATGTGGAACGATTAACTTTGACCTAGTACTCATACGTGCGATTCGACGCAGCTCAGTAAGCATTTATTTAATTTATTGTGTGAGAGTTCATCAAGGATCTCTTGGTGCTTATAATTGAGAAAGGTTCTTACAACGAGTAAGACGTGCAGGTATGCAACTCCGTCGTGAATGCAATACGTACAATGTTTTCAGCTGAATTTTGTATGTGTCGGATTTATCCTGTGTGCAGAATAAATATCAGCTAAAGAAACCCGCATGTTGCTTGAATATTCAAATTTATTTTTGATCTTTGAATATCCCTATTTTTGTATCGTACAAAGATACTCATATAAAAACAAATCATTATGAATAAAAATCTTGAAGCAAAAGAAAGAGAGAGAGAGAGAGAGAGAGAGAGAGAGAGAGAAGAGAGAAATTGCGTATAAAAAAGAAAATTTAAAACATCTTACGTTGCATCATTTTCAACTTCTCTTTTCTTTTTTCTCTTATATTTTTCTTATCATTTACTAAATCGTTTTTAATAATAATTGTTTCCGTTAGCATCAATTATGTTTTATTTATTTAACAACTTCTGCATAATTTCTTTACAGCAATATAAATAACAGAATGTTAACAAGCATTGAAATGCGCATATTTAAAAAGGAGTGAAGAATTTTTATATTCGATCTAAAAATATCCAATACAAATATGTGATACACAGAATAATGGTTTTACTCAATTAGAATAAACGCTCCGATATTTCTTATCACCATTATTATATAATTGCTCTATAAAGAATATTAGAATATTACAAGAATATTAGAAAGTGATAATAACCAGAACAATAATGTATATAATTTAATTGTACCCACATCAAGATTACTGAATTATTCCCGTTGATTGCCAAGTTCCGCCCAGCAATGTAATAAACATATTTCGCTTAATTATTTACTAGCTGAACCAATATACTAATCGCAGCTTCCGCAGTGAAATGCCAACTATAGTTGCATTCGGCCGATCGAGAAATAATTGAAAATTCAAACATTTTAGAAATCCGAATCATTTCATAATAATTTTCTCTTTCTGATGAATTATATATTCTCCTTATCTTACACAGCAAATATATAATTCGTCAGAAAAAGAAAATTATTATGCGTTATTGACGAAATAGTATCATTCATTATACAAATTAAATCAACAAAGCTACAATTTTTTTGATAAGACAAATTTCCACGTTCTAAATGTGAAAAAGTAATCTCTGTATTTAAACGATGGAAATAGAAAGATTAATTGAAACTTTTCAAGTTTATAGATGCTCGAAAATCATCGGTTACTCTTTTCAATAATTGCAGAATTATTCAATATTAAAATTATCCTCAGTTTTCAACACCAAAGATTCAATATCAATATAAGGAAAGTTAATAGGATATCAATGATGTTTTGTTTAATAGAACGGCTATGACATTTTCATACTTTGTCTTCAGCGTGATAATTCAGTCCATTCTTTAGGTATACAGTTACAACCGAGATCATCAATCGACCTCAACCGCAAAACCTTTCGAGAATCCTTTCGAAAGAGGAATTTCATCGCGACATCCAGCTTTTACATGTGCGTTTTTCCCGAAGATATATTTGTTGACTTTAAGGGATTTAAACCCGAATAAAATATTTAAAATATTATACGTAATATGTCGACATCATTTTCTCAAATATAAATTGCGAAAGATCGATTGGACCAATTAACTGATGCTGCCATAAGATGAAGAAGAAAATTTCTCTTCGAGCTGTTCGGTAGTTAACGAGTTAATTCTTCCCATAACTTTCAAAGAGGAAGTAGCATTCGAGTTCTTCTCTCCATTTACACGCCTTGACGCAGCGTTGTATCCTTTTTCGGATCCCATGAACGATAATCTTGCCGGTGGTAACGTCGATCAGCGCTGTAATTTAACGTGTATTTATCGAAATGACAGCTA